GTGTTAAATGTATATTTGGTGTTAAATGGTGTTAAACGGTGCAGCTACTGGTGTACAATTATAATGTTTTTGTCTGTTTTTTGTCACAGACAATATTTTGTCCTCACAGTGACGTTCAATTCCAGGCAGAGTAAGACTATGAACTCACAGACACAATTTATTCACAAATCATATCACTTTCATAATTTAGTGAAATATAATTTAGTCACAGACATACATATTACCTCGCCCAGACAATATTATATACTCACAGACACAAGGGTTTACAAAAAAAAAAAACAATATGATACATTCCATACCAAATTGTTACTTCGTTACACAAAAACTAGCACAGTAATGTTTTGTACAACCTTCATATGTACCCTCCTGGGGAAGTACCTTGTAGGACATTGTACAACGTTGATCATAGCACAACAGTGTACATTATCATACATTCCATTCCAAAACCAAAATAAACCAGCTAATTACAACTACATATTGTTTGATACATTAGCAAAAAAATGGACATTGCATGTTTTCTAAGAAACTGCCTTCCTCAAACTCCAAAGGCGTAGCGCAAAGTGCCATCTCTTTCTAGCCACGTTCGCATACTCGCAATGTGGCGTCAAGGGAAGTCCCAACAACAAAGCCTCAACATAACAAACAACCATCAGTCCGTACACAGTTCTGCCACACAGACATAACAACGAATTAATATGTATTCACAGACAAATTAGTACAATACACATAAACAAATTTGTAGGTGAACAGATTAACATTACCCTCCCTCCTGTTGTGGAACATCTGCAGCTACCTGAGCATTCCAATGGTCTACCTTAGAAAGATCTGGGTGTCGGGTCCGCCGTTGATGAATCGGTCAAGGGCTACAAATCAATTGCTGGAGTGAACAAGAAAACCCTGACTCAAGCTGCTATGTACCCATTTGGCAGCATTTCTAAAGTTTGAACACACCAAATACTGGGCAGGGAAGTAGTCATGACTAGGAATGCGTAACTTCAGGGCTCTGGCAGTTGGAAGAACAATAAATTATTAGGGCAGACAGACAAAAAGTGACGTTCATAGACCTAAAGTATATTCACAAACAATAAATAACACTCCAACGGAACTTTACACCACCACACAGACAATTTATAAACATCAGCAAAGGAATAACACTATGTCATACACATAATTTCATTCACAGGCAATAAATAACATTCCAAATGAACTTTACACCACCACACAGACAACTTGCGCACATCAACAAAGGAAGGATTTACACTATATCATAGACAAAATTTGAAACATAAATGTTGATACAGAGACAATATTTACCAAAATTAGCAGTCTTTAACCCAGTCCACAGACACATGTTCGAAGATTGCAAAAAACCCAACAAATTAAATAATAAACCAAAAAACAAACAAAGGTTGGGAAATGATACATACCTCTCCGCCATCTCTGGCAGTGAGGAGACTATTCACACCTGGAATCAGTCGCGAAGAACAGAGTGTAAGTGGGGGTGCCGGTTTGGGGATGTGGGAGAGAATGAAGGGGGACAGCCGTTTACCGTCTCAAGGTCGCCGCACATTTGATTTTCGAAGAGGAGAAGTTGATTACGCTCGTTGAAAGGAAGAAGAGAAAGAACCGGGAGTTTTGATTTTTTGAGGAGTGGGGGAGCAAGTGAGAAGCGTGGGTCGGGGGGAGTGAAGTGAGGGGGTAATTTTTTTTGGGTGTACAATAGTGTGTACACATGTGTGTACAAAGAGCAATTCTGATATTTTTACCTGTTCACAGATATGTTTACACACAAATTTGGTTCACTCTGACAAACTTTGTTAAAAGTGTCCCTTTTTTTGTTCGTATAAACGGTAACCTACCGTATAACGCAGGATGTACACACAGTCACGCACTACTCGAAGTTTTATGCGAAATTCCTTTGAGAGAAAAAAATGATGTGGACACCATCACCATCAAATGGTACTCATAAGATATCATACCTTTGTCCACATGGACCAATGAGAATGTTGCAGTTGAATTATTTAAAATTAAATTAAAAATTACAAAGTGATGTGGTCCAATGAAATGAATTATAGGTACGGTACCCCATTTTTTAAAAAGGTACCGGAGTTGAAATAAAATTGGGATCCATTCATGACGTACAGAACTTAACAAAACTGGTACGATTGATAATAAACATTAATTTCATACGGAGTATTTAGTCCATTAATTTATTTAACTTATGAGAACCGACATAGACTTATATATAGGATACTTAATAAATAGTAATACTCACACCATCCCAATTTTTTTTTGCAAATTCAATACTTTTTTATCAATCAATAATAAAATTAATTAAATCATCCATATTCATAACTAATTTAACTTTAATAATTAATTTTTTGAACAATTCTTTCTAACCTATATATATATAGTATCTGCTCAATGTTAATCCCAACATTCTTGAACTAGGATGGTCTTCGAACCTGTGACCTCCTCCTGTGGCCTTAATAATTAAAATTTGGATATTAAGAAATTACATTAAAATCCCCATAAAGTTAAAAAATCCAAACTAAAATTTGATTAAGAATTGATATCCAAATTAAATGACTAAAATGAATCTGTTTAATCCAAAAAAAAGTCAATTTTGCAACTCAATCCTCCGTCCCAAATTGAGTTTCAAAATTGATTTTTTTTGTCAGACGGATTTATTTTATTCATTTAATTTTTTTGAACGGTTTATTCATTTAATTAGGATATCAATTGTTTATTAACTTTTAATTTGGATTTATCAGCATTATAGAAATTTTAATGCAGTTTGTAAATTTTAATTATAAAAACTGAATTAATTATCAACAGAAAAGGTTTAACTTTATTATTAATTGACTAAAATATAATAACTTTGCAAAACAATTTAATTTGGAACGGAAATATATAATTAGCGGGGATACATGAACATATTCGATCTAAAATAATACTAAAAAAAAGAGCTATGAACAAAAAAGAGACCTTTATTTCAATTTTCCAAAAATGAGACTAACAATGGGTTAAGAGACTATTTTACCTTTATTTTAATAGAATCTCACCCATTAGTCTACAATAACGTCACAGTGACCAAAACCATTATCGTGACCAAAATTCATCACTGACCAAAAATCATTTGTGACCGAAAATCCAAAAATCCGTCAGTGACCAAAATCATTAGTGACAAAATATTCTACCTAGTTATTAACGTCAACCCGTCCAGTGACCAATCCGACTAGTGACCATGACCAATCCACCCAGTGACCAAAAATCATTTGTGACCAAAATTCCAAACATTCGTCAGTGACCAAAATCATTAGTGACCAAAATTTTTACCTAGTTACCAACGTCAACCCGTCCAGTGACCAATCTGACTAGTGACCATGACCAATCCATCTAGTGACCAAAAATCATTTGTGACCAAAAATCCAAAAATCCGTCAGTGACCAAAATCATTAGTGACCAAAAATTTTACCTAGTTATCAACGTCAACCCGTCCAGTGACCAATCTGACTAGTGACCATGACCAATCTACCCAGTGACAAAAATCATTTGTGACAAAAAATCCAAAAATCTGTCAGTGACCAAAATCCTCCAGTGACAAAAAAATATTAGTGACCAAAAAATTCAAAATCTGTCAGTGACCAAAATTAATAGTGACCACCATGGCACCATCCCAGTTACTACCACTCAGTGATCATCGCCTCAGTTACTACCGCCTAAGTGATACCGTCTCAGTTACTACCGCTCCAGTGACCAATCATACAATGACTGGCCAGTTACATTTACAGTGACTTGTCCGATAGTGACCTCACCACTCACTGATACCTTGACCTATTTGTCGGTGATCTCACCACCCACAATGACCTGTCTCGGCCAGTGACCACCCGACAATTACCACCACTGCCGCCACACTTAATTCGCTGTTTCTAGGCAGCAATTTTCAGCCGTCTCCCACCACCTCTGATAACCTCTGGCCACGTACCACCGCCAACCACCACACCCCATCCCCTGTCTCACCCAGCCCCCTTCCCTGCATCACCCAACCCCCTGCCTCACCCAGACCCGGACCTCTCCTGCGTCACCCAAGCTCTAGCCCCTCCGGCACCACCACGTCCAAGCCCCCTGCGGCCCTGCTCCCTTGTATTTCCCTGCCCCTATTCCCAGCCCTAGTCGTGATCGCCTGGCCTGTCCCCATCACCGCAGATCTGGAAAGGCAAGGTCGAAGAGGTATGCGATTAAATTCAGTGGGAGATGATGGGTGATGGGTTGCCGTTGGGAGCAATGGATGTCGGCAATTGAAATGGCTGGGAAAGGAAACGACGGGTAAAAAGATGCCAAAGGGTATTTGAGACTTTTGAATGTTGCGGTGCTATGTTTTTTGTCCATTTAAACATTTACTCTCATTTGTGTCCACACGTATCCTGGAAGTCACACTTGTGCCATTTTTTCTAAAAAATACATGTTAGAAAATCGTATATGTAGATGTCACCGAAATTGCACTACTCTTAATTAATGTAACACAGTACGTTGTGATTAATATTACGTATTATCTTTCTTCCCTGCACAAACTTACTAGCTTAGACAATTGTTTAACTTCTTATTACAGGTCCAAATTACAAATGGCCTTGTTTCACGTGAAGGTATAGAGTGTAGACTTATACGTAGTATTTACTTTCTAGCTTCTATGTTAGAAATTCGATCATAAAACGTTACTATATGCTATCTTTGTATCTTTTCTAACGTAATCAATATTTCAAGAGTTACCATATCTTTAACTAGCTTCACCATTATACTTCATTAGGCGCGCATCTTACTTAATGAGGAAACAGTTTCTAATAAAATAAAGGCTCAACTTAATGCCTACATTTAAATTAGGAAGTGGTATACTTAATTCGATCATCCACGAGGCGTTTTAAGTACTTAATTAAAAGTGAAGCAAGTTATACATAAATACCAAATCCATATCATGTTTAAAATATGCATGGTGCAAGTAGCTAATACTCTCGACGTACCAAGCTGCAGCATGCATAAGCTAAGATTTTTGTTGTTTCTAATTATGATATTCGTATCTTCTCCTATGTGGACGCTAAAGCCAATGGCAAAAGGTTTGCCTCACGCGCCAAACCTCGTGGTCGGGAACGGACCGGGAAACATCCCGACCATTGCAGAGGCCATCGCTATGGCGGTCCAAAGCAGGGTCCAGCGTCGGAGGTTTGTTATAAAAATAACAGCAGGAGTTTACAATGAGAATATTATCATTGACGACGATCTCCCACGTCTCACTCTACTCGGAGACGGAAAGGGACGGACTATTATCACTGGCCAACGAAGTGTTGGTGCCAGTGGCGGTTCTACTTTTGACACCGCAACCGTTGGTAAGTGAAAAATAAAGAGAAACTCTCAAATAAGAGAGAAATGTTACAAAATTTCTCTAATTAACTAGGAATCATGCAATCTTATATAGGTAAGTTTTTGTTCTTTTGTTCTTTTAATAGGACTAAATAAGTCCTATTTTATGAGGAAAAAAAAATACATTTTTGACCATATTTTGGAGCTTTGATGATGTTTGAACAATTTCTAAAAAAAAAATAAGGCAATATGCTTTCTTGTGTTTTATTCTACTTTGAAAATGAAAATTAAATTTAAAATGGTTATATTTACATATTCAAAAAATAGAGGAAAGTATGAGTAAAGCAAAGTGTATGGATATATGAGTACTTTTATTTTATCTTAAAAGTAAAGAAGTCATATTTTGAGAAAAATAAATCTAGTCTGAATTGAGAATAAATAAATAAATAAATAAATAAAATAGGAGTCAAATATAAGCAAATTTTTATGACTCTAAATATATTGCTTTAATTTCTTTTTAATTAATCAATTTATTTTGCATGTATACAAAAAAGTTAGTTTTATACTACGTATTATTATTTATAGACCTAAAAATAGAGCTCCATAGCATCCAAATGAACTTATACTTCAAATGGTAAATGGTTACTTGAATTTTGTGTTATTTTCAAAAATGGTTATTTTCAACATAGAATGACGAATCTTTAGTCATACAAGAACCTTCTTTTTCTCCGAGTTAACACACAAATTATATACTACGTACTACGCATTTCTTATACTCTCACCGTCGTCCCATTTTAGTTGTCTTATATTCCTCTTTTTAAGTTGTCCCAAAATAAATGTCTTATTTCCTTTTTTGCAAGAGATTTGTGTTCTTTATCATTTTACTTCATTTTATTCAAATCTCAACTACACCTTTTACTTTTCAATCATTTTATTAATAGTTGTATCAAATCAATCATTTTATTCAAATCTCAACTACACCTTTTACTTTCCAATACAGGTGTTGACGCAGTTGGGTTTATAGCCCACGGCATAACATTCAGAAACACTGCCGGTCCGGACAATGGGCAGGCCGTGGCACTGCGGGTGAGCGGCGACCGGGCCGTGTTCTATGACTGCTCAATCGAAGGCTACCAAGACACCCTCTACGTCTTCGAAGGGCGACAATTCTACAAAAACTGCGACATCTACGGCACCGTCGACTTCATCTTCGGAAACGCAAAAGCCATCTTCCAGGACTGCAACATCTTGGGCCGAATGTCAACCCACAGCGAGGCCGTCGTGATCACGGCATCGAAGCGCGACACTCCGACGGAAGACACTGGGATCGTGATCCATGGCTCACGCATATCAATCGAACCGGGGACAGACATGAGCGGGATCAGTGGGTTCTTGGGCAGGCCGTGGGGGCTTTGCTCTCGAACCGTTTTCATGGAGACGTTCATGGACTCTTTCATAGATCCGGCGGGGTGGATGTGGTGGCAGGGAAAGGAAGCATCTTTTCAGAACGATGTGTATTATGCGGAGTATAGAAACATAGGGCCTGGTTCTGCCACGGCGGGGAGAGTGAAGTGGGGTGGCGTCCACGAGCTCACTACGCCGGAAGAAGCGATGCAGTTCACGGTGAACTTGTTCATTGATGGCAATTCTTGGTTGCCATCCACCGGCGTGCCTTTCAATTCTAGTCTCCTTCAGGCCGACCCATTTCAAAAATATACATGAACTAGCTAGCTAGATAATTTTCTTTTATGATTATAGAGATAGAGGTAGTGGTAGTTTTTAATCTATACATTTTTGCTATAATACCTTGAATAAATGGATTGGGGTTTTGTTCCTTGGTTTAATTATATTGTACCTATTTTTCATTTTTTCTGGGTTGGAAACTTGGACAGTTGGACTTGTGGATTTCATGTTTTACTGGAAGAAAAATGAACAGAATTAAGAGAATATAAGGACACCAACAAAAAAGGATAAGGTACGACAGAAACAGGACACCATTTAAGATGGTTTTAGGTAAAGCACAAAATTGTTTTAAATTGTTTGAGGCTTTGAGTTTAACATTTATCAACACGTCGCTCTTAACATTAATACTCCGTATATACGTAGTAAGTTTTTATTCCAGAGCAGTAAAAATAATAGAAAGTTGATCATTGGAATCTACACATGGAGATAAATGTGACAAAAATTATATTAATAGCATTTGTGATAGCACACGATCGAATAAAGGAACATGACCAAATTTATTGTATGTAAATAGTGTAAAAGGCAAATAAAAGCAAATGTTATAGTATTCCTAATTATTTATTCTTCACTCTCACAAAATAAAATTCTCGTTCACTTTTGAAGTCAAAAATTGTTTAATGAGACCATTGAGTATTTGAAAACTATGCCACATGAAATTTCTTTTAGTCTGTAATTCTGTATTATTGAAATAATGAATTATTATACACATTCTAATGATATACTTGTGCAAAATAATGGACACAAATCAACACTGAAAACTGAAAAGTGTTAAAATTAAAATGGAAACTTCTTCATTTCGGACTGGGGTAGGGGTGGACTCGGGCCGGGCGGCCCGGCCCGGAACCGGCCCGGCCCGGCTGCTGGGCGGTTCGGGCTCGGGCCCTGTTTTTGGTGAACCGGCCCGGCCGGTTCGGGCCGGTTTTTATTTTTTATTTTTTATTTTTTGCATTTTTTTTTAAAGTTTTGGGTTGGATTAGGTATTTTGGGCCATTTGAGGTGGTTTGGGGTTGAGGGGGAGGGGTTGGGGGTTAAATAGAAGAGCCAAAAAAAATTAGAACCGGTTAGGCCCGGCCCGGCCCGGAACCGGAACCGCCCACCAGCGGTTCGGGCTCGGGCCCAACTTTCTTTGCCCGAGGCCCGGCCGGGCCCAGGCCCGAACCCGGCCCGAACCGGCCCGAGTCCGCCCATAGACTGGGGTAGTATTTCCTAGTAGGTGCTAGGTTCAACTACCCCGATTTTTCATTTATTTTATCCAATCATAAGGCACACAAAGATGCTGAATTTCTTAAATTTGAAGTTTTAAAATGTGAGTTATATTTCATGAATTAAAAGGTCTAACTTTACAAAAGTAGCAACTATCAATCTGGTCAAACAAAACATGTTTAAAAAAAAGTTCTAACACAGGGTGGTGTTAGTGACTTAGTTCAGACATTTAAAAAAATACCACCTTTGGCGGAAAATGCTGTGATATTAGTGACTACACAGACTTAGAGTGCAAATGGACTTGGTGGGACATTTTGAAAGCAAATAAATAAAATTAGAACCATAAAAGCAAAAGAACCCAAGAATCCCTACCATACACATATATATTCCAAAAGTATCCCCATTCCTACTCCTCTAAAGCACAATGGTCAAACCTCAGGTAACATGTAAGTAAGTGACAGCTGCAAATATGAACAGTAATGATGACAACAGCCCTATGCTTTCATGGATGGTTGCAGCAGATGTTGGATGCCTGGAATGCCAGAATGATTAAGAAAGTCAATAAATAGCTAACCAGAACATATGCAGACACACACACACACACAGAGTTTTGGAAATACTTTTGCATTGAAGCAAGGGCACCACAATAAAGTGCATTTTCTGGCACAGGCAATTCTGTTTTATTTCCAGTATCTTCAGGATTGACAATTCTGAGGTAAGTTTCTTGACCTAAATACCATCTGTCAAGGTTCTCTGTTCTGAGGTTCCATACCCCTACATTGTCAAGAGATACCAATACTGATGTCCACCCTCCAGCAAATACCTACACATACACATGATTATATTTTAAAGAAAAAGAAAAAGTGCAACCTGGTGATCATTGACGTCCCTACAAGACAAGGGTCAGAGGAAGGGTCCCACCACAAGGGTGTATAAGGATCAAGCCTTCCCTTGTCATTTTGACAAGAGACCTCTCTCAAGACTTGAACATGTGCCCTCTTACTCAAACAACAAACACCATAACCGGTGAGGCTTGGAGTGAGTTTTTTCAAAAGGTCAAATAATTAACACAGTTACACTAAAGTGTTTGTTTGGAACTTGGAAAATGTTAGGAAAAATGGAAAGAATCAATACAGAAAGCTATTTTCTTAATGCTTTAGTTTTTTCATATGCTTAAACGTCTAAATTTTCTGAGTTCCAAACAGACCGTAAAAGTAATATATTTGTACAAAAAGTGAGGATTTACAAAACAATACATCCCCCCATAGATTTACAGCCATGAGAAAGATGAATACGATGTTCAAATTCAATAAATACAATCGAACTTACGAACCTGAGTAGTACAGCGGGATATTGCATCCCATCTATTATATGATCCCCTATTGTTCTCTGTCCATTCTCCATATCCCATCCTGTGTGACATTCACAATAATTACACAGTAAACAATAAATAAATCACTGGAGTTTGTAATAATAATAAGCAAACTTCTGCTTAAGAGTAATACCCAACAACGAAGAACGAGTAACCATTCATGTGAAAACTCTGAACAACACTGTCATTGTTCTGCAGTACAATTTCTATGAAGCCCTTGTATGTACCATTGATGATAGATGTGTCCATCTTAGGTGGTCTGTTCATTGGCTTATTTGGGAAATCAAGCTTGTAGTCACCCGGCACATCATATACATCAGCAAGCCTTATTGGAGTCTTAGGATTAACAAAGGATATCATGTTATAAGAAGATCGCCGCTTTCCATCAATCATCACTGGCGGGAAACTCTTTAAGATGTAAACATCTGTAACATTAACGGAGCCATAATGGAAAGATCCCTGTGGGTTCGGGCGGGCTCCACTAGCAGATACGTTTTGCCTAACACAATAAAACTGATCCATTTTACAAAATATTATCAAACCAAAAAAGGACTTAATGTGCAATTGATATCATCTTGGTCCTGTTAAGTTTCCACACATTTTACCAACAAATGCAATGTGGCGTGCCACACGATTCCATGTAGCACGCTATGAGCCAGGTGGCATTTCACATGTTGTTTTTGTATTGTTATAACTTATTGAATTATTTTTAAACAAAGTTTAAATTAATGTAATTTATAGTAGCACATACATATCATGCCATGCACACCATCTATTTACCTATTATTGATAGAGTAAAATGAAAATATTTTATTGGAATGAAATTCATATTCACGAATTATAATTATTGATTATAAAAGCAGCTTTAATTAGTAATAATTCTTCATCCATTTCCAAAATCATAAATAATTTATGAAGTGTTTTCTTTATATAAAGTGTTTCACAAACAGTATTATTTTTGAATAGCAAATGACCAACATGTATTATATTCTCTATTTACATACACAAAAATGTGAGATGTACAACTTCTTCCATTTCACTCATCCTGTATATTATACAGAATGTCGTTGAAAATATCAGTGACATGTGGCACAAAACTGTTAAGTGTATAAAAAAAATAACAGAATGAGGTAAGAATTGTAAAGTTTCATGAAGAACCTGATGGACATGGCCTGATTTAACGCATAGGAAGTATCATACATATCATTGGGAGGATCAGGGAGAGGTCCATTTGCTTTACCCATGGAGTTGGAATAATGCAAAACAGCAACACCAGTAACCTTCTCCCAAATTGATTGATTTACAAATCTTGGGCTTGCAACAATGTAGTAGTCACTACTTGCATTCTGGTCTGTTGCGACCAAAAAAGTGTAGGACTGCCCGACATGGATATCTATGCTAGTGAAGTTCTGCTGAGAGGTATAAGTTCCCTCTGTCTCTGCCAAGAGCAAATTATGGCTTTGGATCCTAAAGTTCAAACAAGTTGAGACTCCAACATTGTGCACCCGAACTCTATAAGTTTTGCCTGCAAATTATTTGAAACCTTCTCCGGGTTAAGATAATGAACCCAATTCACAGAGGATGTAGAAAAATGACTTGGTATTTGGTAATAATTAAATATATAAACATGAAATAATTGCAAGGGATGTTCATTGTAGATCTAGTCCAATCAAGGGAGAATGAACAAAGATACCTCTGCACTATACCTTAGAGAGCATAACATGTAAATTCTATAACTTTTTTTTAACCATAAACACAAAAAAGTATAAATGGGGAACATATATACCCGTGTGTATAAAAAAAGTTATAAGCTTTTTAAAAGTTATATGTTCATTCCTTTTTTTACTCTTTAGAAAAATTGGTTGACGGTACATAAGTTTTTTAAAGAGAAGTTGTATGGACAAGGGTATATTTGTTCCATATTTACACTTCGATGTTTAATTGTTCCAAACAGAAGTTCATGGATATACAAGTTCTATGAGATAATTCAGGGATATATATGCCGCTTATCCCGTCCAAGAAATGGATACAACAATAAACGAAACATAAGC